ATAAGGAGGCCTGGAAAGGCTTCCAGGGTGCTGCTGGGGCTGTGTGTTGAGCCTGGTGCTAATTGCACAGGTGCATTCAGCTTGTGAAAATTGGTCAAGCCAAGCTGTGCTCTTAGGACCTGTATCTTTTTTATAGGTAAATTCCACTTAAACATTTGTTTTTTAGAAAAGAGAAATAAACCCTGGAAGGTATGTAAGTAGTTATAATCTGTGGGTTATGGAAGATTCTTCTTTTCTTCTGTATGTCTACATTTTCTAAAATGAGCCTCTATTACTTTCGTTGTCAAACAGTTTTCTTTGGTTTTGCTTGTTTTGAGGTCATTCCTGCTGCCTTCATCAGAGCAGGCTCTGTGATATGTCAGAGCCACCGGCCCACGGCAGGAAGAGGTTCCTGTTCTACGAGGAGGCCTACTTAGTAATTTTGCTCCTCATATTCTGAAACCAGAACTTAAACTCAGGGCACATTTCCAGAAACCGACAGGGCTGACAGTCCTCCAGTGTCCACTACTTTCTTCCTGGGGTGGCAGCCAGGTGTGTTGTCCCAAATGCCATCTTTTCCAGTGCAGGCTCTGACCGTGAGAGAAGCATTCAAAGGCACAGCAAGTCTGCAAAGTCCAGGATGGGATCTTCACTGCTCAGTTCTCCTCTTAAGAGCCTTCCAGCCTAGGAGATAGGGCAAAACCCCATCTACACAAAATACAAAAATCAGCGAGTTGTGGTGGCATGCACCTGTGGTACCAGTCACTTGGGAGGCTGAGGTGGGAGGATCACTTGAGCCCAGGAGACGGAGGTTGCAGGGAGGGGTGATCTCACCACTGTACTCTAGCCTGGGTGACAGAGTGAGATCCTGTCTCAGTCTCAAAAAAACCAAAAAGGAGTGAAGCTGTAATTGTCCTTTGTGAACTGGAAAGTGCCAAAGAGAACTGGAAGGAGGCTGGTTGTAAACCTACTCCAAATATGGCTTGTCCCCTGCAGCCTGCCTCTGATTGTCTTCCCTCCAAGTGACCTCTTCTTTGAAAAGCACAGGCCTTTTCCAAGGTCTGGGAAAAATAGCCAAGAAAAGCTCAGGAATGCCTTCTCTTAGGAGTCGACCTTGCCGCCTTTCATGTGGTTAAAGAATTCTCCTTTGAGGGTCCCCTTGTGTAAACCCTTTAATTGCGTAGCTAATATAAACCAGAGCAGAAATGATTCATCCAAGAATTCTTGTTTGGATTCATTACCATTTTCAAAGGGTCCCTCTTTTATCTTGTCTCAGATCAGCTGAATGATGCCCCTGTTTAAAAAGGGCTTAGCAGAAGAGATAACGCATTATCACTTCTTCCCAGCCTAGTGTAGTGGAAGGAGGTTTACTCTAAAGATAATTAAATCTTAACTCCCAATGGGTGAGGAAACCCAGACTTCCGTGAAACAGCTTTTACCCTGCTTGAAGGCCCCACACAGCTGGGATGCCCCAGAGGTCAGAAAAAGGGGTCTTCCTAAAGAGGGGTCTTCCCATAGCATCACCCCACTAAGTTGTGAGTCAAAAAGGGGCAAGTGATAGGGCTTCTCGTTTCAAAATGGAACTGGATCCCAGTATAGATAATGTGCTAAGAGGTTAGGAATCTTCCTACTAGAACTGTGGATCAGCTTGATGACGGTAGAAGCAAGATATTATCTGTGTCTGACAAGACTACAGAGAGGTAATCAATAGTCCACATTGGGTGTGGCAGGCACAGAGGTGTGTGGGAGACTCAGATTCCCTTTCATGCTGTGAGGAGTGTGGTTAGCCAACAGCCTCCAAATGAAGACGAGAGCTCATAAATCAGCCTCAACTTTGAAACTAAGATAATATTGTCCTTGGGGTGGCTTCAGCTGGTGACTGAGCAAGACTTCCTGGCCACCTCCACCTGACACGGGAGTCTTTGAACAAGAAAGCTTCACCCCAAGCTTACTGTTGGGGAGGCGGGGGCTCTGTCAGATCCACCAGTGTGATGGCCCCTCCCAGCCCATCCTCCCTCCTCCCTTTACCTTTCACAGCCATTATCTCCAGCAAACCAATCTCTCCTAGCTCAATTTCAGCATTTCACACGCCCAAATCCCCATTCCCAGAATTCCCGTGTATCCATCCACCAGCCCCTGAGGGGGGCCCCCACCCTGCTGGAGCTACCATGTAAAAAAAAAAAAACCAACTGGGCCGGGGGCTGGATCTTGGAGGGCAGTTTAATGAATGGCAAGAATGATGTGGAGTGCTGGGAGAAGAAGAATCTTCCTGGAATGGTCCCTATCAAGACGTCCCTTCCACTATATCAGTTCCTAGAGACCCTTAGCCAAGGAAGAGGGGGCACTGTTTTATTGAACAGAATGCCATCCCAGGGACAATCCCTTAAGGGAGGCTGCATCTGAAAATGTCTTGTCAGTTTCAGAGTGTACAGTGTCTGTGACAAGCCACGCTGAGCATGCTTCTCAGGACGGAAACATCCAGAACTTTCATAGCCCAGAAATCCCAGACTAAGCCAAAGATTCCACACTGGATCTTCATCAGACAAAGCCTTGAAGACAAGGAAGATGCTTCTCGTCACCCAGTTTTGTCTGCTCCAGCTCCAGGCATAACCAGGATGTACTTTCCCAAGACCCAGGAACTGGACAGTATCCAGCTACCCCCAGCCCTGCACGTGCAGGGTCAGCAGTCCCTCTGTCTAGAGGAGCCAGGAGTCACGTCAGTGCTGGCTAATGGCAAACTCAACAATATTTCCATCTTTTTTCTTTGTATAAGAGCTAGAGATATCTGCTTGCTCCTCCTGTAGCTTATCCTATGAAAATTCTAAGCCTGCCATTTTCTCTAAAAAGTATCCTAGTAGCTTTATCTGTTGATGCAAAACATAAGACACCTCTAAATGATATTCTGAGGACTTAGTAACTTTAAAAATTTGTTACATGGGATTTTATTTAATTTTTTTGATAGCTTAGTTTATTTTCCATTTGTTTATGATTTCTAATACAAGAATTTAAGGCCATGTTTTTCTCCGAATCTGCATCTAACGGGCTTGGATATATAAGTCTCTCGTCATCCTTAATTTCTAAGGCATTTGTAATATCAATTTAACTTCATCTTTAATTCAAGAGTTATTTAAAAGTGTGTTTGTGGTTTTGTTTTTAAGAGAGTTTTAAAATTGAAATGCAATACCAGAGTGCTTTGAAACCAGGTTTTTCTAGGCTTAACCTTACCTCTGAATCTAACCCTAACACAAAACTTGACCGTAGCTCACATTTCTTGAGCCTGATTCCAGAGAAAAGAAGACCTAACTGCTCTTCTGTCCACTGACATTTTTGCAATGCATTATGGATTATCTGTAATCCGGCATGTCACCCTATGAAAATATGCTTCAAAACCAAAAACATAATGGTTTTGTTTTATTTTTATAGTGGGTGGGTTGCAAAAGGCCAGAAGGAAATTCTGTTTTCTAGGCTGCTTATTTTACTTGGAAAGGGAAAATGCCTCTCTAATGGGTGTCCTTGAAGGCAGTCAAAGCCAAGAAAAAGCATTGCCAAGTTTAAGAGTAAATATTCCAAAAAGCAATATTAGCAAATTATTTTCAGGAACAATGTCCACTACCACCATAATTATTTATTAAGGTTTGGGGTCCTTGGTCATTGTAACATTATAACTATAGAGGAAACCAAATAAAATGAATGCATACAGTAAAAGGAGAAAAATACTCTTCACAGATAATAACAATGGAAAATATACAATTACTTCAAAGCAGCTTAAGTGACTTTAAAAGACAAATATGGAAAAACCAATAGCACCTGAGTATTGATCTTATTCACAATAGTATCAAAAATGTTATAAACACAGAAGTGATTTTGAGAAAATGTGCAGAATATAAATAAAACCTCCAAGGTTTATAGGAAGTCATAAAAGACATCCATTTGAGAAAAGAAAACTATTTCTAGATGCACAGATGAATAGTCCAAACAGACTTTTTATGAATTTGGCAAAAACAATTTTGAAATTTAACTAAAAGAACAGTTGACATAGACTTCCAAAAGGACTGCGTGAAAAATAAGAGTAAGAGGGAAGAAGTTTGCAGTCCCAGAAGATATTAAAAAATATATTTTAAGAAGAACATTCATTAAAACATTAGAATATTGGCTTAAAATATGACAGAGAGAGACTAAAGGAATGCAATGCAGAAACCTTGAGCTAAAGACAATCACATACAGAAATACAGACAGTCACGTGTGGAATTTGCCATTTTCTAGTAGCTGCATTTAACAACAGCAAAAATAAATAGGTGAAACTAATTTTAATAATATGTTTGATTTAACCTAATATATCAAAATGATAGCATTTCAACATGTGATCAAATGAAAAAATTATTTATTTCATTTTTTGAGACAAGGTCTCACTCTGTCACCCACGCTGGAGTGCAGTGGTGCAATCACAGCTCACTGCAGCCTTGACTTCTCGAGCTCAAATGATCCTCCCACTTCAGCCTCCCGAGTAGCTGGGTCCACAGGCACACACTACCACACCCAGCTAATTTTTGGATTTTTGGTAGAGTCAAAGTGTTGCCAGACCCAGGTTGGTCTCAAACTCCTGAGCTCAAGCAATCTTTCCACCTTGGCCTCCCACAGTGCTGGGATTTACAGTTGTAAGCCATAGCACCAGGCCTTGAAAAAATTATTTAATATTAACACAATACTTTACATTCTTTTTTTGTACTAAGTTTTGAAATTTGTACTATCCACATATTTAATAGCCACATGTGGCTAGAGGCTATGACCTCCTCACAGCATAGATTACAGGTAGGGAATGCTATATGTTATTGAACAGGCATCAGGAAAGTCACGGAGAAGGAAATAGATATTTAATAAATGACATATGTCCTTATAATGATTTGTAAAATGCAGAAGTATATCACGATGAGTTAAAACCACACCATAGGTCATCTGACAAAGTAAGATCTCGATGGAGTAAATCAAACTATTTTAAAAATTAAAAAACAAAAAAAGCTTACAGTAAGCCAAGCAGTGTCACAACTTGAATGGACCTGGGTGGGAGTCCTCCTGGTTCCAGGAAAAGCAGGCCTGCAGAGAAGGAGGAGAAGGCAGGGACATCAGACACTGTGGAGGTGAGTGACCTGTGTGTGGGCAGAGCCTGGGGAAGACAGCCAGGGGTCCAGGACCCAGTAACCAAAGGCCAAGAGGCCAGTTCTAGAGTGATTCAGACAGCGGGTGGGATCAGGCAGGCCTGGTAGGCTGAGGCAGTGGAGCAGAAGTTTCCAGGAACTGGTCCAATTTGGAAGTGCAAAAGGGTGTTGGCCACTGTTGGGTAATCTATCCACAGTGGACAGGTCCCCACCCATGGAAGCTCCACCAAGGATAGCTGGAGTCGAGCCTGGGGGAGAAGGTCTTGGTGAAGTCAGGATGTCCGAAGAACCATCAGGGTCGTGTGTGCAGCTCCAATCGCAGAGGGAAAGTGGGATCCCAGAGGCTGCAGACACACAGTGCTGTCAAGTGGGACAACAAGGGGACCGATAACTGCAGGAGTGGAAGACGCTGCCATGGGCTGAAGGGCGTCCCCTCCAAACTCACGTGTCGAAGTCCTAAGCTCAATACCTCCCATGCGACTGTATTTGTAGACAAGGCATTCAAAGAGGGAACTAAAGTTAAATTAGGCCATTGGGGCGGATCCACTAAGAGGAAATCTGGACAGAGGTAGAGAGGGAAGATCATGTGAAGACACAGGGGGAAGAGAACCATCTACAAACCAGGAGAGAGGCCTCGAGGGAAACCCACCCTCTCGCCATCTTGATCTCGGACTTCCAGCCTGCAGAATCCTGGAGAGAATGAATGTCTGTTTGAGCCACCCAGTCTACAGTGCTTCATTGCGGCAGCCTGAGCTGACTCCACAGATGCTAAAACTGCAGAATGCACCAGGGAGGCCCTCGTCCCCACAGCGCCACGGTAGACCCAGGCCTGGTGTGCGGGAAAGGAGCAGCCCCGCGGCTGGGGCGGGCGAAGCGCTCAGGAGCCTCTCCGCTGTGTCCTGCGCAAACCGCTTGCCCACTGGGGGATTGGGAAGTCATGTTGAATCCGCTCCTGGAAAGACTCCATTCGACTCGGTGCAAGATGGGACCCAATGGTAGCGTTGCCAGATAAAATACAGGACACCCAGTGACATCTGAATGCCAATAAGCAAAAAAAAAAATTTTTTTTTTTTTTTAATGTCTCAAATATTCCAGGGGCATGCTTGTTCTAAAAGTTATTTGCTATTTATCTGACATCCAAATATAACTGACTATCTTATCATGTTATTCTCTAAATTGGACAACCTTGGCCAAAGGATAAGGAAAGGGCCCAGCCCAGCAGGTGTAGCAAGGAAGTGAAAAGGAAAATAGAGGGGGAGCCGTGACCCGGGCGGGGGCTGGGGTGTTCACCAGAACCACCCAAGGGAGAGGATGTAAAAGTAAAAGACAAAAGTCAATGAAATGTTCAACAGATTTAACTATATCAACATTTTATAACTAACACTAAAGGAAATAAGAAAAAATAACAGACTAGGAGAACCATTACAACACTCTGAAAAAGCCGGTATGAATATAGAACACTCACTTCAACTGGTAAGAAAAATATCAAAATCTCAGTAGGCAAATAGGGAAAGGATGTGATAAATAATTTGTACAGAAGGCTGTACAATTACCAAACAAATCTGAAAAAGTATTTCTGTCCTTTTAAGAATTTTTACATGCAAATTCTTAAAAAATTAAGAATAAACTTTCACTTTTTAAAAATAGGACTTAAAATTTAAAATCATTTAGTGAGGATGTGGTTCCACTGATAATGGCCCTTCTGGTAGTGGAAACTCAGCAATATGCTAAGTGGAGTTTCTTAGTGGAAACTTAGCAATACACTAAGTGGAGCTTCTTAGTGGAAATTTAGCAACATGCTCATACTTGTTGACCCAATAAAATAATTCCTGGGTTTTGTCCTAAGAGTAATGCCTTAAAATAAAGACAGAAAAAAGGATACGAAATAGTGTATTATTCCATTACTCTGACTATACAATTATGAATACACCTGAACAATGACTAGAAAGAAATACACACACAAAAAAGCATTCGATGTGAATATATTCTTCTCTTTAAGATTTCCTTGGGTCATTAGTATATTTTTATTTTATAATTACCAAACATTAAAGTAAAAAAGCAGTTTCTTTTTTGCTTACAAAGACTATTGACTAAGGTGTGCTCTGTCAGAATTCCTCCTAGCTCGTGACCTGGGGACGGTGGGAGGCTTGGCCATCAGAGACTCTTAGACCAGCTCAGGGAAGAATTCCATGAGCCTTCTTTTCTACCTGACATCAGGGTCTGTAGGTCCAAAGCTTTGCTGGCTATCCAGGCTTTCCCTAAAGACTTTCTCTGACTAAAGGTTCAATGCACTATAGGATATTTCCATTCAATGAGATAGTTTTTTTTTTTTTTTTTTTTTTTTTTGAGATGGAGTCTCACTCTGTCACCCAGGCTGGAGTGCAGTGGTGCGATCTCAGCTCACTGCAACCTCCGCCTCCCGGGGTCAAGCAAGAACCTGCCTCAGCCCCCGAGCAGGTGGGACTACAGGCACGTGCCACCACACCTGGCTAAATTTTTTTATTTTTAGTGGAGACGGGGTTTCACCATATTGGTCAGGCTGGTCTTGAACTCCTGACCTCGTGATCTGCCTGCCTCAGCCTCCCAAAGTGCTGGGATTACAGGTGTAAGCTACCATGCCCAGCCAATATAGTAATTTTTATTTTACAGGTTTTTTAACCTGGAATATTAATGTCTTGCACTCTTCACATTGTCTTCTACTGACCGAAAGCCAAAACCTGAATAAACTATTGTGGTAACAGCCTTTGCATGATCAGGGGTAATAACTCTTTGCTGTCACTATACTGTTTCCAGCACCTAGGAGGAGCAGGAGGTGGTCTGCTCAGTTGCCCCTGAAGTGTCTGGGTTCTGGTTCCAGAACAGACGGCACTGATCACAGGAGAAGGACACTTCATCACGGGTCAGTCCAGTGGACACCATAACTGCTGGGAGAGAGGGGTTTTACATATCAAGAATTGAGGTCAATATCAAAAAACTGTTGGGTTGGGTTTTCGGAGGTTCACAAAGCTTCTCCCACCCCAAACTTGGGGACAAGAGACCACTCCTGTATCAGTTTACTCAGCTGTCATCGCCGGATTCCATAGACTGGGTGGCTTACACAACAGACATCGATTTTCTCACAATTTTGGAGGCTGGAAGTCTGAGAGCATGGCATTAGCAGGGCTGCTTTCTCCTGAGGCCTCTCTCCTTGGCTTGTAGATGCCGCCTTCTCCCTGTGGCTTCATATGGCCTTTCCTTTGTGTGTGTTCATGTCCTCATCTCTTCTTATAAGCACACCAGTCATATTAGATCAGGGCGCATCCTAACAGCCTTGTTTTAACTTAGTTATTCCCGTAAAGACCCTATCCCCAAACACAGCCACCTTCCAATGTGTTGAGGGTTAGGACTTCAGCATGTGAATTTTGGAGAGGACACAGTTCAGCCCATAACGATCCCTGAGATCAGAAGAAAACTTCTCCGTTACTGGCCACAAAGCTGCATAGGAATATCATATATATATATTTACAGAATCCTAACTTGTCCTATAAGCAAGAGAGTCATCAAACCTTACAACAACCCCCAAGACAAATGTGCTAGAAGATCCTGACTAAACTGTCTGGGTAGTCTGGGAGCAGCAGTATTTTATCACAGGATTCCTGAGATTTTTGGTTCAAACCTGACAGTGCCCTTTGGGAAGGGAAACCCCAGCACACACAGGCCTCTGATGTTAGCCCAGCCCAGTGCCCACAAGCACATCTCCATCTCAGGGGCCTTGGCCCCATGAGGGTCAGGGTGAAGTCTCCTTGTCTCAGTGCCTGCAGGGACGCTGGGTGATGACTTTTCTCTCTGCCTTCCTTGGGGCCAGGTCTGGAAGCCCAATGCCACCTCTATGCGACCTGCAGAGAGGGCTGTGTCATCTTCCCTGGGTCCAGGGCCACGTTTATGTTTTCTTTATATTGCCACAATGCATCTTAATTCCCATCTGCATGCTCAGCTAAGGCGAGGCCCACCCCAGCACACCACCTCACTCTGATGGGCTCCCTGGCCTCTGACCGCTGCACAGCCGGTGTCCTCCTGTGCCTCTGGGACACGCAGCATGGACTCAGGCTGCTCCCCTCTGCGCTCGCCTTCCTGAGCTCCCCCACTTCCAGGGGCCCTGAGCATGCTCTTAGGCTAGTGTGACATCATTCATGACAGCAGTGAGAGCTCAGATTCATTGTCTTTTCTTTCATGCACTTCATCTTTCAGCCATGTCAAGAGCTGGTTGGAAATGCAAGGTATGGTAGGAGAAATCTGTTCAGCTATCTCTGGAACAAATAGAAGGAAGTGTGCACTTTGACAGCCACGTGTAGGTTCTTGTGATGTCCAGCCCCCTCCTCCCCTTCAGGGTGTGAGGCAGGCACACCCCTGTTTGGGACACATCAGTGTATACTGATCTATCAAAACCCAATGGGCCTTAACGTGGCTCAGGCAACAAATGCCTCAAGCACCCTGTAGAGTTTGTGCACAGCCTACTGTCACAGTGGGATTACACCGTGGGGCGGATGCCTCTTTCAGAGGAGATGCAGCCAACTCTAGCGGGTGTTTATTCTCAGAAGAGGTCAATAGATGTTATGAAACACTTGCAGCTGGGGGAAGAGATTCCAAAACACGTGGCAAGCAGCACAGCTCTCGCTGCCTGTCGGTATCACGGGGCAGGACGAGGCATCTGTCCTTCTGGACAGCATATGTATGATAGAAAATAAAGTCACCCTGTTTGTTCTTAGCACAGTCTGAGCAACACTGCAGAAGATCCTCTGAGAATCTAACTAAGCAGACGGCTCAGGGTAATGCTATTTGACTTCCTCTAGGGCCACCCCAGGAAGTTCGATACAACACCGTCAGCGCAGCTCTTCTCCACTGTCACCTTATCACGGATTTGAAAAGTAACTTGAAATGCTTTGCCCTATCTTTATTGGA